ATGTCACTGGGTATCCCTGCAGACTGGCAAGCATCCGATCAGCAGGGATCCCCAGTGACATCATTCATCATATATGCATTGGCAATACGTGGTAAATGCTGAAGAGAGAGAGAGAGCTCCTTCCCCTCTCTCTCCCTGCCATTTGTGACAGCAGCCTTGGCGGCATTATCGAGCAGCAGCAGGAGGAGCGGGTCCAGATACCCACAGCTACGTTCAGGTGGTGGAGGAAGCCGGGATCCGTAAGTGCGGTCTGGCAGAAGAGCCGGCCGAGACCCTGAAACGCCGTCGGATAGCATAGGAGGCTGGGACACAGAAGCGCTGACAGAAGTCATTTTCATACTGAAATGACCGTGGATCGCTGATGACAGAGGGGAAGGAGCCCGCTCTCTCTCTTCAGCATTTACTACAAATGGGAAAGTCCATATATGGTAAATGATGTCACTGGAGATCCCTGCTGATCGGATGCTTGCCAGTCTGCAGGGATTCCCATTGACATCATTCACCATATATGGACTTGCCCATTTGTAGTAAATGCTGAAGAGAGAGAGAGGGCTCCTTCCCCTCTCTCATCAGCGATCCCCAGTGAATTGAGGATGTCAGCGTCACTCAGGGCAGGGAGAGAGAGAACAGGGAAGGAGCCTTCTCTCTCTCTTCATCATTTACCACGTATGGCCAATGCATATATGATGAATGATGTCACTGGGGATCCCTGCTGATCGGATGCTTGCCAGTCTGCAGGGATACCCAGTGACATCATTCACCATATATGGACTTGCCGATTTCACGTAAATGATGAAGAGAGAGGGATTGCTCTTTATCCCCTCTCTCTCTGCCCCTATGTTATGCTGACATCCTAATTACTGGGGATCGCTGATGAGAGAGGGGAAAGAGCACTGAATTAGCAGGGAGGCTGAGTCCGTTTTTTTCATACCATCTCTTGCAGCAGCCTTCTCACTTCAGACTCCGCCTCCCGATCACACATGCCAGCGTGCACGAGCTGGCATTTCACAGCTGTGCACGATGAGAGGAAGCGCGGCCACAGCAATGAAATGAGTTGAAAAAAAAGCCGTGGGCGGGCTGGATCAAATGTTAACGCCCCCTAAAAGAAACGGAGCTTGGAGCTGGGTTGAAGACGGCCATTTACTACAGGTTTTGAGGGTTTTATCTGTGATGTGCTGCGACTTTAGAAAAAAGGAACGATGCTACTACAATCAAGGTAAGGGGTATTTTTATTTGCCCTTAAGTCATAGTTCTCCTTTAAAGACCTTTGACCATTACACATTTAATTACTCAGTATTTACAAACAGTACAGCCCCTCAAATAAGTATGTACAAGTGAGTTACCCGTAAAACACCTAACACTGATATTATATTTTTACACAATATAATATCATGTGTGATGGAAAAGGAAACATTGCTAATCATAAGACCCAACATGTGTGATGTCTTTGCAGGTTTACTTGTAAAGGATACTGCTTTGGGAACATAGTTGCTCCAGTGGTCTGATTGAATGCTCCATCTTTTTTGAAGACTCTGAATCCCCTCCTAGCATGTCTTCATCCTGCTCCAGAAAAAACACAAAATGGAATAGTTTTTGGCATAGTCTAAAAGACGAAAGATATAGCTTATTTACCTTTTTTATCATTTCTTTATGACTTCAAGATAAAATATATCAATTAAAAAACAAGAAGGAATTTTTAACTATGTCCTCACAATAATGTTTGTAACATGCTTTTTCCACTTCCCCCATTGGCTTAAAAAGGAATGGCTGTCTGAGGCAACTATTGGCATTTAGGGAAGTTACATATTGCAAAGATACCCAAGGGTGATAATAGTATGCTTTGCACATCTACACATGTATTCGCCAGCACAGGGTGCAGAAATATCAGTCAGGGACAATTCACACCTGCCTGCATGAGCAATGCACTGCATAACCTGCACTCTCCTGTGCGTTGTAAAGGGTGGTGCAATGTGTTGGTGCACAGCATTGCATTGTTTATACTTTTCTTCTTTTTTTAATCTTTATTGAAAGTGATAAAAAAGACAGGGCATTGCGATGCGATGTGGTGCATTGACATGCATTGCACTGTGTAAAAATGCAGGCATGCTGCATTTTTATGCAACACACGCCAATGCACATGTGAGGTGTGGAGTGAACATAGCTCATAGAGAATATTTGCTTTCTATGTGCCCTTGTGTTGAGCCGGCTTTGATGAATGCAAATCAACACAGCTCAAAGTGCCTGGTGTAAAAGAGCCCTTAATATCCGCCAGACCCCAGTTTGCCACCTTGGAAAACTGAGAGGGAAGGGAGGGTTGTTGCATGCACATAGTAGTGTAGTAGTGGGTATGACTAATCTGTAGTTGGCATGGCTCAATTGGTGTATTTAAATCATTATGGTTTGGTCATTATGAATCTGGTAAAACAGAGCCATTTTTTTTAATTATCAATAGCAAACATTTTTTCCCTTCTGTCTGGGGATTAAGACAGTTCATAATTCTTCATCCTGCTCTTACAAAACTGCTTCTGGTACAGCGATATTAACTGCTTGAAGACCAGGTGTTTAGACCCCCTTCCTGGCCTGGCCATTTTTCAGTATTCAGCGCTGCAGTACTTTGACTGACATTTATTCTGTAATACAACGCTGTACTGAAATTAATTATTTTGGTGGTATTTAATCACCACTGCGGTTTTTATTTTTTACTATAATTAGGAAAAATTTCTGAAAATGTTGAAAAAAAAAAGTTTTGTTTTACATTATGTTAAGAAACATTTATTATTACCCAGTTTTTTTGTAAAATATAAAAGATGGGGTCACGTCGGGTAAATAGACAACAAAAATGTCAAGCTTTAAAATTGTGCGCACCCGCGAAATCGCAGAAAACTACCATACCCAAAATTGGCCATAGGCGACGCTTTAAAAGCTTTTACCACTCATCAGCATCGTGTTATCAGTGATTGATGGCCCTAGAATTATTGCTCTCACTGCGATGTTCACGGCCATCCGTAACATGTGCGGCGTAATGTCCACAATCGTCGTTATCGCAGGTATGCACCCCGACGCATGTTTGTATGCGTGTATGTATGGGTGGGGACTTTAACGCGGGACAACGGCGGAGGGGGGGATCACCGATCGTTACCTAATACAAGCGATCCGCCGAGTCTATTGCCGGCGGATCGCTTGTATGTTAACAGGCATCGCTGTCTGTTTTTAAATATCGGGCATGTCTGAGCGGGGTACGTGTCTGAGTTGGACGTCTAAAGACGCCCGCTCAGATCTAGAAAGCTCCCGGCTCTCTAGATCTGAGCGGTATAGTATTGTGTGCCATAAGTGGCGTAGTGGTTAGCGTTTCTGCCTTACAGCACTGGGGGTCCTTGGTTCTAATCCCGGCCTGGTCACTATCTGCAAGGAGTTTGCATGTTCTCCCTGTGCCTGTGTGGGTTTCCTCCAGGTGCTCCAGTTTCCTCCCACACTCCAAAGACATGCTGGTATGTTAATTGGCTCCTCTCTAAAACAAATTGGCCATCTATGTATGTATGAAAGATAGGGACCTTAGATTGTAAGCCCCTTGAGGGTAGGGACTGATGTGAATGTGCAACTATGTAAAGTGCTGCGTAAATTGTTGGTGCTATATAATACCTGAAATAAATAAATAAGAGAGTCAATACTCTATGTACTGTACTTTTAAAGTGGAGAACATGCACTTTACACACAAAGTGTCAATAATGTATGTGATTCTAAATTGGAGAATCTATACTTTACAAACAGAATAGCGTGTGCAATTCTAAAATGAAGAAGCTACTTATAAATCTACAGGAGCTAAATTTGAATCAACACTAATTAATTACTCCAGCACAATGTCGAGCAACAAAACCCATATGCGTGACCTGTACTCATTTAGTGGCTAGAGTTCACCAGAAGAAACAATTCCACCCTGAAGGGCATCTAATGACTACATACTCCAAAGATCAAAAACAATAACAACCAGACTCTTGCAATACAACAGATTATCTTTAAACTTTAAAGTTCTATCACCCTACCTGTATGAGCTCAACACCCCTAAGCTAACAAAGAATGTCTATATCTACAATAAACAATGGCATGGAAACATACTGCACATGTAATTACAATTTCACCTTTACTGCTTACATAAAAATTCATAAAAATTAATGAGCTCTGCTGTATACTGCAAATGACCTCTATATATTTATATATAGCCATATGCCATTCAACTATAATGGTATTAGAATCCATCAATCCCATAAATTGCTTTAATTGTGTACAATCTAAGTTCATGAACATAATATATTAAGCTACTAATAAAAACAAAAGCATGAATACAGTGCAGTAACAGTTTCGGGCATACATTAAAACATCTAGAGCTTGACAAAGGGAATAGATGCCTCATACTGTTGCTATACTTTTGTTTTGCGCAATAAAAGCAAAGCTCTTTGTGCTACAACTCTATACTCATACACAATGCATTCAGAAAGTATTCAGACCCGCTTCACGTTTTTCAGTTTTGTTATTTTGCAGCCTGATACTACAGTTGTTTAAATTCTTTTTTCCCCCTTATTAAGCTACACTCAGTACCCCATAATGACAAAGTGAAAACAGAATTTTAGAATTGTCTGTGAAAAAAAACCAACTGAAATATTACATGTACTTAAGTATTCAGACACTTTACTCAGTACTTTGTTGAAGCACCTTTGGCAGCAATTACAGCCTGGAGTCTTTTTGGGTATGATGCAACAAGCTTTGCACACCTGGATTGGGGGATTTAGCTTATTCTTCTTTGCAAATCCTCTCAAGCTAAGCCAGGTTGGATGGGGACCAGGCACTGCCCTGGACAGCTACTTGCAGGTCCCCAGCAGACTGCCAAAGGTCCCCACAATCGTGGGAACTCAGACAGCCTCCGCGGTTTAACGATTTAAAGGGCCGGTATCAGCCTAAGAATCGTGGCGTTTTCACGAGTACAAGTACTCATGAAAATGCCTGGTATCGACCCCGATACCAATACTAGTATCAGTATTGGTACATCCCTATTTTAAATAATTATCAAACAGGCTGACATGGTGTGAAGTGTATCTGCCATTTTCTGGATTTTGTCTCTGACATAATAGATTGTAATTTTTATTAAAACCTGCTTTATCTCTCCCTTTTACACCTTTTACACTGCTGCCGAGTCAAGCTTCTTACATCTCCAGCCACTGTCCTATAGGTCAGTCTATTGTCTCTGAAATATGGTCTGAAATTTAAATTTGTTCAACAACGGCCTCACCTCTGGAATATGGGGCTGTGGTGTTGAAGTGTTTTTGTGCACTGTGCAACATTATATTAAAAACAAGCTATGCTTGGTTTGCCACTGCTTGACAATTGTTATGAACATGAGGAATTGTGCTTTATTTTTTTGAAGTGTATGACTATGCTCTAATGCTCATAAAACAAACATTTCATGATAAAGCCAAGTAAAGCTCAATTAAAGTCACAGAAAGAAAAATGCGGTCAGACAGTGTACTAACAACCTCCATTTAGATAGTCTAACCTCCACTTCACCTCCCGTTACAACAGGTATAGATTCAATCTGTACATGACCGTACTGTCAAATAGGCATCAGAGTTAGACCCAATGCTCTCAGTGAGAGATCTGATCTATTCCTCAGCAATACAAGTTAATTGAGGACAACAAGTTTATGTGAGGACACTTCTTTTGATGGGTGTGGCTGTTACCAGTCAGCATAGAGCACTGAAGTGTGAGGGCAGAAAGCAGCATATTCACCAACAAAAGTAATTTTAAGTATTTGAAGGCATGTCCAACAAAAATCAGTAAATATTAGAGGGGGTGCAGGATCGAAAATAAATAAGATGCTTATTTCTTTTTATCCTGCACACCCTCTAATATTTACAGATTTTTGTTGGATATGCCTTCATATACTTAAAATTTGGATTTCAATTGGGATTAAAATTCCTGTTCTCTTCTTGTAAGTGAGCCTGCAGTTACTGTGCTCTGTCAGGGTTTCTAACCCTTCCTTGTCCTGTTGAGCTGCAGCCTGTTTTCTGTTGCAGTGTGTCTGGCAATGTTGGTCTCTCTTTGGTGCCCTCTTATGACCAAACCCATACATCATCATTCTGCAAATACTGGCAAATCTCCCGGAAACTTACTGTCTCAGAGTAATGATGCAACACCAGTTCACTATTTAACCATCAGCTTGTCCATTTAGTCTCCACCCTTGTGAGTGTTTAGCTCTATCAAGTGCTCTGCTGTTGTTCCTGTTCTCCGTGTGTGACCCAGCTTGGAACTCAAAGCCATTTGTGTGCTTTATTGGGACAGGGAAGGATAAATAGTGAAGACGCCATTTTGAATTCACCTTCAAAATAACAACTCTTGTTATGGACAAAAACTGAAGATGTACATCTGTACAATGTTGCTTTGAGATGCTAGATCCGCATAGCTGCTGTATAAACAAAGGGTTAAGACATCTGAGCTAAGCACTCTGTTGTATCACAGGTTACATGCATATGCCTTACACATTTTCCTTTGTAGCAAAAGACTGGCACAGG